TCCAAAATTTACAAAAAACTCATACTATTCAACACCAAGAAAAAACACAAACAAATCAGCAATTCAATTAAAAGATGGGCAGAGGACTGGAATAGACCATACAGAGGACATACAGATGGCCAAGAGACAGGAAAAGATGTTCAACATCACTAATCATCAAAAATGCAAATTAAAACTATGATGAAATGTCACCTCACATCTGTCAGAATTGCTATCATCAATAAATCCACAAATGGCAATGTTGGTGAGGGTATGGAGAAAAGGGACTTCTCATGCACTGTTGATTGGGAATGCAGATGTTGGTACCACTGGGAAAATAGTATGTAGGTTCATTAAAAAATTAAAAATTGAATTGCCATATGACTCAGTGATTCCACTTCTGGGTATGTATATGAAGAAACACAAAACACTAATTTGAAAGACCATATGTATCCCTATGTTCATTGTAGCACTATTTACATAAGCCATGATGTGGAAGCAATCCAAGTGCCTGTCAATAGAGGAGTGGACAAAAAAGTGGTGGGACATATATAAAATGGAATATTACTTGGCCATAAAACAATGAAATTTTATTTTTTTAAAATTTATTTATTTTTAGGGAGGGCAGGGGGGGAGAGAGAGAGAGAGAGAGAGAGAGAGACATCAATGTGCAGTTGCTGGGGGTTCTGGCCTGCAACCCAGGAATGTACCCTGGCTGGGAATCGAACCTGGGACACTTTGGTTCCCAGCCCGCGCTCAATCCACTGAGCTACGCCAGCCAGGGCTTTAAAAACAATGAAATCTTACCATTTGTGATAACATGGGTGGACCTAGAGAGTATTATGCTGAGTGAAATAAGCCAGTCTGAGAAAGACAAATATCACATGATTTCACTTATATGTGGAATCCAAAGAACAGAATAAATGGGCAAATAAAATTGAAACAGACTCAGACACAGAGAGCAGGTTGGTGGTTGCCAGAGGGCAGAGGTGTTAGGGAACTGGGTGAGAGAGGTGAGGGATTAAGAAGTAAAAATTAGCAGTTAAAAAATAGGCATGGGATGTAAAATACGGCATAGGGAATATAGTCAGTAATACTGCAATAACTATGTCTGGTGATAATATTGGGGAGAACACTTTGTAAAGTATATTATTGTCTAACCAGTATGTTGTACACCTGAAACCAATACAAAATAATATTGAAAGTAAAGTGCAGTTGAATAAAAATTTAATTGGTACTTCCAAATTGTTCTTCAAAATGCCTTTACTTGTTTATACTCTCACAAGGGTATATGAATTTCTTCACATCTTTGCCAATTTACTAATGTTAAGCTATAATTTCTTTTGCCTAATGAGTGTGTGTGAAATAACATCTTGTCCTAGTTTGTTTTCCCTTGATTACGAATGAGTTGAGGATTTTTTTATTGGTATATTTAGTAATTTATATATTTTTGCAAGTCATTGCTTTGTGACTTGCCCATTTTTCTATTCTGTTTTCTTTTTCTATTGATTTGTTGGAATTTGCCCTAAGTAGGTTGAAAAACATTTTATCTTACTCTCTTGTCATATAGAAAATTTAAATTTTGATGAAGTAAAATTTCTAAATCTTTTCCTTGGCTTTATTCAGGTTAAATACTTTTCCTTCTTAAATTAGTAGTTTATTTTTTAAATTAGGAATGTTGATTTTTTGGGGGGTGACCTTTTACTGTCTGATATAATAATTTGTTAATATAGTGAATGATTTTAATGAATTTCTGAACATTGAACCTTCATTAAAGTCTTTGGATAAAATCTACATGGTTATGATTTATTCTCCTTCAAAAGCTACTGACACCAATTTGTTGTTAATGTATTTGTGCATTACACTCATAAGTTAGAATTATAGAATGTATCTTTCTAACTTCCTCTCTCCCTCTTTTCCTTTCCTTCCTTCCTCCCTGACTCTTTTCCTTCCTCCTTCTTCTCATTCTCTCTTTTTTTCCTTTATAATGTTTGACATTGGATAATGTTGTTTAATGGAAAATTTTTCTACTTTGCTGAACTCTGTAATGTTTATGTGGTATAAAAATGAATAATCCAAAACTATTTGGTAAATGTTTTCCAGTTATTTCCAATTAATTTATCTGAGTCTAGCAGTTTTCTTTAGATTGATCTTTGACTGCTGTGTAGTTTTTTTCCATAGTTATTTGTATGTTCAGGTTTTTGCTAATTTATGGTTTATTAGAAAGTTGTCCATTTCCAATATAGTTTCACCTTCATTAGATTAAATGCATGTTGTTTTCCTTTAATTAAAAAACTATCTAATATTACTTTTTTTAATGTTATGCATTGCAGTGCAATGATCTGCTTTATTGGTCTTTTTCAACAACAATTTTTGGTTTTATTTATTTATTTATTTAAAGATTCTATTTATTTATTTTTAGAGAGGGAAGGGAGGGAGATAGAGAGACAGAAACATCAATGTGCGGTTGCTGGGGGTTATGGCCTGCAACCCAGGCATGTACCCTGGCTGGGAATCAAACCTGTGACACTTTGGTTTGCAGCCTGTGCTCAATCCACTGAGCTACGCCAGCCAGGGCTGGTTGGTTTTATTTATTTCCCATCTTTATCTTTTCATTTTAACATCTATTTAGTTAATCTGTACTTTCATTTTTATAAATACCTTGTTTTTTTGTTTAGTTTATTTTTTAAATTATTTTGTCCTTTTTCCTTTGATAATTTCAAACTTAGAGAAAAGTTGCTGGAATAGGTCAAGGTACTCCCATATACTCTACTCACATTCACCAGCTGCAGTTGATACTTGAACGAAGTGGGGGATAGGGATGTGGACATCCCTCCCACTTGAAAATCTGTGTATCTTATAACCCTCTGCCTCAAAGTAACTACTACTATCTAACAGTAGTAGACTACTGTTGATTAGAGGCTTTACTGATAACATAACCAGTGGATTGACACATATTTTGTATATGTATTATATTGCATGAATTCATGACATACATAATTTTTAATATTTTAGCTATTTCTAGGTTATGTGGTTCATCTGCAAGTTTTTTCAAATTGTTGCAAATATTTTAAAAATTTCAGTATATTTATTAAGAGATACACCAGAGTTCCAGTGTATTTAGTGGAGGAAATCCATGTATAAGTGAAACCAAGCAGTTTAAAGCCCATGTTGTTAAGGGTCAGTGCACTTATAGTTAGCCCCATTTGTTTACTTTTCCCCAGCTCTTTTTTTTTTTTTTAAGATTTTATTTATTTATTTTTAGAGAAGGAAGGGAGGGAGAAAGAGAGAGAGAGAGAAACATCAATGTGCGGTTGCTGGGGGTCATGGCCTACAATCCAGGCATGTACCCTGACTGGGAATCGAACCTGCGACACTTTGGTTCACAGCCTGCGCTCAATCCACTGAGCTACGCCAGCCAGGGTCCCCAGCTCTTTTGAGGTGTAATTGACAAAAGTATATGTAAAGTGTACAGTATGATGTACTGTGACAGTGTGATGATTCAATAGACATATGAATTGTGAAATGATTGCCACAATCAAGTTAATTAACACATCCCTCACCTCACAGTTACATTTTTTTGTTTGTCGATACCACAAAACAATTTCTACTCTCTTAGAAACTTTCAAGTATACAATACAGTGTTATTGACTACAGTTGCTATACTGTACTCTAGATCCTCAGAACTTAGTCATCTTATAACTAGAAGTTTGTACTTGAGCATTCTCTGTTTTCATTTTTGCAAATTAATTTTTGAGAACCACTTGAGTGTAAATTGGAGGAATTTTGCTCAGTTACTTCTAATTACTTAAGTATGTTAATTTTATAAACCACAGTACAGTTATCAAAATCAGGAAGTTTAATAGTGATACAGTTCTGCTATCTAAGCCACAATTCATATATAGATTTCATCAGTTGTTCAAAAAGACCTTCTAAAAATATTCTGTGATATGATCTAAGTAAGACATGCATTGCTTTTAGTTGTCGTCTCTTTAGTGTCATTTAATCTGGAACATTTCATCAGCCTGTTGAGTTTCTTGACTTTTACATCATTAAAATATAGGCCAGGTGTCCCCCCCCATAACAGCTGTCAATTTAGGTGTGTCTGATTAGATTAGTTGAAGTTATACATTTTTGGTAGAAATACCACAGAAGTAATAACGTGTTCTTAATGCATTATGTCAGGAGTCACTTGATATCATTTGTTTATACTGATGTTTGCAATAATAACTCTAAAGTTATTATTTCCCTATAATTAATAAGTAATCTTTTAGGAGACATTTTGTGATAATGTAAATGACTGTCCTCATCAACTTTTTGCTTTTGGGTTTATTGTATTCTAATTTTATCCTGTCGTATTGAAAGCTTAGTTTATTTCAGCTTTAATATTTTAATTATTTAAGATTATAATTTTTTCATAATATATATATTTTTAACATATCAACTAGGAGTGCTTGCAGTAGGGTTGGGAATGAAAGGTAACAGTAGGTGGGAAGATTGTTTATAATAATCTGCTACTAGGAAACTGGCAATAAGCGCTTGAATGGAATATTTTAAAGTTGTCCCTAATCACCCATGTCTTGACAGAATGTTGTTTTTTCAATCCTCACCCAAGGACATGCTTATTGATTTTAGAGAGAGGGAAGGGAGACAGGAGGAGTGAAACATCGAGGTGAGAAACATGAATTGGTTGCTTTTCCTACAGGCCCTGACTGAGGACCAAACCCACAAACCAGGCATGTGCTCTGACTGGGAATTGAACCTGCAACCTTTCTGTCTGTGAGATGGTGCTCCAACAAAGTGAGCCACACTGGCCAGAGTTTAACAGAATGTTTTAGTCTTGATTTGAAGGACAGAAGATATGGTTTATGATTGTAATTGTCACAACTGAGTAATGATAAATTCATGAAAATTATGAAATTAAGAAATTAAGAGCTTGCTATTTCTTTAGTGCCACTGGTACCTTGGGACTTGTTTAATATACAGCTGTCTCAGATCACATTTTTACTTTACCATTTCAGGAGCAGTGGAGGTGGCATGGAAGAATCCTATTTCAAGTTGGTTTACTGCTATGCTCCACTGTTTTGGTGGAGGAATTTTATCCTGTGTACTGCTTTCAGAGCCTCCATTGAAGTTTCTTGCAAACAACACTAATGTGTTACTAGCATCTTCAATCTGGTAAGCTGCCATTATGGTGAACTATTAGACATTTAAAACATTGTTTTATAAATTATTAGTAAATGGAATTTAAAAAAAATATATTTTATGTTCTTAAAAGTTAATGCATGTGCAAAGGAAGGAACTCAGTCCCCAAAGTATGTCTCTTTCTTACCCTCTTCTCCATTATCCTGCCCCAAAGATGGTTATTGTTATCATTGTTTTAATGTAACTTTAGTGGAAGCATTTCAAATATCAAAGAACATCAAGTGTTTGGCCCCAAGCAGTTTATATTGTGAACCTACCCATTCACACGGATATACAACAGGATAAAAATCAAGAATGCGACCAACTACGCCAAGTCCAAGTGATTATGATTCATAAATAATTGTTCTTTTCATATTCTGTTGGATTTTTTGGAGGCTTATGAGATATATCATTAATTTATTTTGAATTTAGTTTTGAACTGAAGAAAAAATGTGAGCAGAAGTTGCTTTGGATTCTTGCAAATCAAATTCAGTTATCCTTCAGAGGATTGACTAATCAAATTTAAAAAAGTGGTGTAATTCCAGTGAGACTGCTTTGTTATATCTAAAGTGAACAACTGTGCTTTTGATTAAAAAACCATATCAATGAAACATATAGCATGTTAGTAACACTTAAAGTTTATTTTTACCTTGATAATCTTTAAATGAATATGTAACTTGTCTTAAAAGGAAATGTTATAAATAGTATCCATGGGAAAAACTAATTGTGGGCATCTGAGGCAGTGGAAACTATTAGGAGTAGAATAATAAATGTAATAACTAATATTTTTTGAGTTATTACCATATGTCAGCTAAATTCTTTGTATTCTTTTTTATATTTAATCGTGAGTCCTATGAAGACTTGATTTCTTCAGTGAACACTATGTTACAAAAATTCATCTGAATTCTTGCATGCAGCTATAGTACATTCCCTCTCACTGCTGTATAATTCGTTATATTTTTGTCTATATTTTGTTCTTCTGCTGATGAGCAGTTTTAATGGTTCTAGTTTTAGCAGTTATTCCAAAATAACAATAGCAACCACTGATGTATTTACTGTGTCCCAGTTTTCTAAGTGCTTTACATATATTATCTCTCTTAAACTTTTTAAGAACCCTGTAAGGTAGGTACTATTTTATTCTCATTTAACAAACCAGGTAACTGAGGCAAGAAAGGTTAAATAACTTGCCCAAGATGTCTCAGATAGGAATTGGAGCCAGGATTCAAACCTATGGTGTCTAGTTCTTTAGTCTATGCTTATGTAGTAGATTGTTTTGGATTCTGGAAATACAAATGTTGTCTTTGTTCTCACAGACCCTTAAATATAAAAGAATGATACTTGCTTGAAGACACAGTATATTTTACTATTTTTGTGGTTTTAATGTTGAAAACATATTATAATCTTTGCTTGATTTGATTTTAATTTGAGAGATAAAATGATGTTTGGAATTTACTTTAAACTCTAGCAAGCTAAACTAGGGGATTCTGTGAATGCACTTACTGGAAAGGTCTTCAGTACAATTGCTCATAGTGCTCACATCTGGAGATTAGCGCCATCTACTGGCAAAGGGAAATAACTGTTTGGAAGATAGTGTACATTGTCATAGGATTTTTCTTTTCAGAACTGTTCCTGGGGAAAATAAATACGTTGTAATTTTTCTGTGTATTGATTTTTGTATCCCTGTTTGTTTTCCTTAAACTTCAAGTGTCTATTATATATTGCACATTTGCATAACTGAGACTGTATTTTTATGAGGAAAAACATAAGAAAAGGTATAGTTTTACAGGACTGTCATTCAATAGTCCTGTTTTTGGTTTATAGTTCAGTTTTGGCTTAGGTAAGTAATACTGTCTTTGATACAGGCGTGGAATTAATAGTAGAGTGAAAACAGAGTTCTCAGTGACTGACCATGGGAAGTTTCTGCTCAGCTCTTGGTACTAACCTAATTTCTGCTTTCCTCTTTCTTATTTAAACTGGTTTAGCTTTTATTTGTCAGTGGCTTAGCATCCTGTTTGTATTCTGTTTTAGACTAATTTTTATTATTTAGCACTGTTCTTTGTCATTTCCCCACTTTATTAACCTAGTTGACTTAAAATGGATGAGAAAAAAGTGGATGAGAATCAATTGCCTTCTTATTCCATTTCTTGTTTGGAATGTTCCATTTCTTATTTTCTGATGTTTTCTAAAGGTACTTTATGAGTTAAAAGTTCCTTAGATGTGACAATTTTAGTTAAAGGTGAAATGATAATTTTTATTGGACAGTGTTGCTTAGTGAGTATTGATTGAGTGATTCATTAAAGAAATTTAAAAAAAACTACTTTGTGTTATAGAGCAGGAATGGTTATTAGTCATTAGTCTGATGTGTTTACTGGTAAGTTTACTGGCACAATAAACAGTTTTTCTTTTGCCCTTGTGACTATTTAACACTTGAAATGAGAACTGTTTCCTGTTTTAAATGTTAGCTTATTATAGGTATACTTTAGAGATGCCGGATTAAATGGAGTAAAGACTTATTCATTAAAAATAGCAACAACCAGAAATTTTAGATTGTATATCATAATGTTACATAGTTGAATATAAAAAGTTCAGGATTGCCCTTGTAATAGTATAGGTTTTTAACTCGTTGAAAATAGTGTCAGTGAACAGAATGAAAAGTGGGTCATTTGTATTTTTGTTTTTGTTATTTATTTGAGTGTTTTAGTTTTGGTACCATCCCTCTTTCTTAATCTGATCTACAGGGTATACCAAAATATTTTAATGTTATTTAAAAATACATTTTAAAATTGCTTATTTAAGTGTAACTCCTTTCCCCCCTCAATCTCTTAACTGATTTCTTGGAAATTTGTTTTATATTTAAAGAGAGAAGTAGATAGGGTCTTTCAAAATATTACATGAACATGTAAAATTTTTAAATCATGCCAGTCATTTTCAAAAAGCTTTTTACTACTCTTACATAACTTACTTCTTTCTTTCAAGCTTTTAAATTACCAACCGATTCTATGATTTGATATATTTTGCATTTTGCCTCAAGATTAACTGTTAATAAATTATTTAATTCAGGACTACTTTGCATCATGCTGAGTTTAAGTGAGAGAAAAACAAGACGAATTATTCTTGCTATCTAAAGTCTATTTTATTGTGAGCGTTGCAGCCTTTATTCAGGGTGTGGCAAAAGTAGGTTTACAGTTGTGAGTATGCAAGACACAGTTTATTCTTGTATTATTGTTTATTAATTATTGTGTTTTCCACATTAACAACTGTAAACCTACTTTTGCCCCACCCTGTTATTCTGAAGAAAAATGTATTAAGAACAATCTGTGTTTAGGCATAGGAACCAATTGTTTTAGTTGTACAGAACCATTAGAATTTATTTAGTCTGAACTAAGAATATTAAATAAAACAAACTAAGACAAGATGAAGCTCCCAGAGTCAGTATATATGGCACTGTTAGAGTGGGACGTTGGAGAATAAGAAGGATTGGTAGGTGTAGATAAAGGGGAGAGAGTGCCTCAGGCTGAACAAACCATTGCATCTTGTACTGGGCCTCTGAAGCAGCATTTTGGCAAGAAGATTTCATATTCCATGCATAGTTTCAGGAATTCCTACTTTGTGAATCATGAATTGCAATAAGATTAACAACTTCTTTTAGAGGAAATATAATACTTCTTTCATACAGTGTATTCCATATCTCTCCATTAGAAAGACGATACATTCTACCTTAAGCACACAACTGTCAGCTAGAGAATATTTTAGGAACGGGGTGGGGGGAGTAGAGGGTTTTCCAATTTAACACTACTGCTAAACTGTTTGAACAGATGCTTAGAACAAATGAAGCTTCAAAAAATAATCCATCCGAGGAGGAGTGAATTATTCTTAAACTAGTATCATGTTTTAATTGGTTAAAACTTAATTTTACTCAGCTGAATTGAAGAACAAGCTTCATTTCTTTCAGCTGTATGAAAATATGTTTTCCCTGAACACAAATCTGTCTCCTTGAGCACATGACCTTTCATTGTATAGGTCCCGGTTTATGTACTGCACCAAGGGGCACAGGTAAAGATGTTAGAGGGGTGGAAATGCAGCCCTTGCTTAGGTACCATGGGCCCTCTTCTAATTCCTTTTCCCAGAGGAGAAAAAAGGCACTGTAGCTAGAGAAGTGATTATATATTTGCTCTGTTTTTTTTAGTGGACTCAGCACTTAGCTTCTAGAAGAGTATAGGCACAAATTAGGAACTCAGTAAATACTTTTTGCATGAATAAAATATTCAGTAGTCCAAACAGGATGAAATTCCTCTGATCATGACTTTTTGGCAGATTATTATATGTGCTTCATGTTTTTTTTTTTTTTTAAACTGACTCTACCCAATCTGGTATTCTTGAAGTCAAATTCTATGCTTATATGGAGTTTATATTTATGTTTGTTGAATTTTGCCAAATTGTTATTGCTGATATGCTGTATTTTTATTTCTGTTTTGATTCTATTTATATATTAAAATGTTTAAATTTTAATTTCAGGTATATTATTTTTTTTTGCCCATATGACCTAGTTTCCCAGGGCTATTCTTTGCTACCTGTTCAACTCTTGGCTGCAGGAATGAAGGAGGTGACCAGAACTTGGAAAATAGTAGGTGGAGTCACACATGCTAATAGCTATTACAAAAATGGCTGGATAGTCATGATAGCTATTGGATGGGCCCGAGGTAATATTAACAGTGCGTGTTCGTAAATACTGTTATTGGTGTGCTACAACTACCGAACAATTCTCTAGTTGCATTAATGGGGACCACATGCTCTTATAATAACAGTCTTTTTGGAGGGTGGAAGCTTTGTTTCTGTTAGCTAGTAAAGTTAATTCAAAACCAGCACTTTTCGCAGGTATCAGCCATTAGCCATTATTTTGATCCCAACTGTTTTACAATATAAAATTTTTATGATTGGTTTTATTATCAACCCCAGAACCAGAGGGGTTCATAATTAATTAAGGTATAGTGCCATCATAAATAAAATAAGTTTACAGAAATTATATAGTACATGTAAAAAATTGCTCTGATTTTTAATTCTGAATAACTGAAAATGATAAATATGATTGAATATAGGTTCATGTCTACTTTGCATTACTTACCTTTATTGTTGAGTTCTTTAGTATGTAGGAATTGAACAGATTTCTCCAATCTCTTGTTTTACTGTGTTTAACCATAACTAATATCAGAGAAAGAAATGATAAAGCACTGAATTTTATTTGTCAGGTTTGCAACAAACCTCTAGCTATATCTCTGTGCCTGAGGACCCAGTTTTAACCTTAATTACCATGTAATAGACAGCTGCTGTGATTGTGTAGGGGAAGGGTTGCAACAGTGTTAGTACCATAAATGTACAAGGCAACTTTTTTCTTCTTCCCAAAATTATATTTTTGCTCAATTATATTTTGGGGATCCTCTTGGGATTATAAGTCAGGAGGTAATATGGCTTTGTTTAAAATATTTTCTATAGAAAATTTGGCTAAATATTCTTGTTTTATTTTCTTATTTTTAGGGGCAGGCGGTAGCATAATCACGAATTTTGAGCAGCTGGTAAGAGGAGGTTGGAGACCACAAGCTGATGAATGGCCGAAGATGTCCTAGTGAGTTGGTATCAACTATACTAAGACCTGGCTTTTTGTCCTTAGATTTCACCAAAGTTCTTTTTGAAAACATTTTGTGGATTCTAAGTGTGGATGAAACATAGGCAAAAAAAATAAATAGTTACAATAATGGGGAAAACCCCCAGAAAACCTTATTCTTTCAAAAAGTCTGATCTCTCAACTGTCATTTTTAAAATATATATGGATTTATTTATCTTTGGGTTCTTCCCTTTAGGAAATGAAATCAAACAAAAACATCTAGATTGTTAGAGAATTGTGGGAAGAGTATGAATTTATGGAGAGAGAATTACATAGGCACAGACTTCTCTGGATGGAAATGAATCTCACTCGCAGTCTCTTGGCATTTTCATTAATGAAACCGCCCAGATTTCAAATTTACATAGTTCTTTTAGTAAAATGTCAAGCTTATGAGAACAAATCAGTACATTATTTTAAAGCCCTATTAGTTGCTTTAAAAATGAAAGTTAAACTTAATCGTATATAACAATATGAAAAAGATGAGAGGAAATAACCCACTCTATACTTGTTCAATGCAAACTACCTTTTGTGTCCACTCAAGGAAATCTGACTGTTAGATGTTTTATAAAGACACTAGCCCAGTATTAATTAAGTCACAAATGGATCCCTGATGTACCTGAAAATGAAACAGAGAAGTACAGTTACTATTTCCACAATTCAAGAAGAAGATGATTTAGGGAATAGCAGCTATAATAAGCAAGGCAAGGAAAGACTTCATGTGAAAATAGTCTCGTTAGAATGGATTAAAAAGGAAGGTTGAGAAGCAGTATGGATGATGAAGTATATGTTTGAGAACCAACAAATTCCAAGATATTTAACTTGGAAAGTGCTTCTTAAAGCTTTAATGAGGTAGTTGAGAAATAGAACAAAGAAGGCTTTGGTTGATACTAAGTTATAAATAAGGCATTAGTGTAATTAAGGGGAAATTCTTCTCGTTGAAAACATCTTTTATAAGCCATTTCTTGGGACTTTAAAACTGAGTCAAAGTGCATTTCTCCTCTGTTCAAAACCTTGCAGTGACTCCCCCAAATGGCCCTCCAAGATGGCTCTCCCAGATGGCTCTCCCCTACACCCAGTCTGCTCTTACTACCTTGTTCACTGCACTTGATTCTTGAAAAAGCCGGGTGTGGTTTGGTTTAATGCTAGCTTTTCTTTTTGCCTAGAATTTTTTTTCTCAGGTATCTACTTCCCTATCTACTTTGCTCAAAGTATTTTCTCAAAGCTCACCTTCTCAGTGAGGACTATCCTGCTTAAAATTGGAACATTTCCTTCTATTATTCTTTCTTTTGTATAATGTTTATCATATTGTATAATTATTCATTGTGTTTATTCTCCTCTCCCTTTGGCTCCCCCCACACTTCAAAGAATACAAGAGGCCAAGGACAGGGATTTTTGTCTTTTTTGATTGTTTTTGTATCCCAAGCACCTACCACATAGTAGACCTTCAATAAATATTAGATGAATGAATGATTGACAGGTTGTCAGGCAACTATGATTTTTGTCTAGTATGATATTCTGTGGATGTGTGTGTATTTAAGTTTTCATATCTATTATCAAATACTTTTGCACAGCAGAGAAAGCCTATTTGGTTTCAGAGAATACATGTATTTTCATAAACAGAATGTTGGTAGAAATATGAATGTTAGAGTGCTGGTGAGGGCTCAGAAGGAAACGGGGAGCATGATATTAGAAACTGGAGAGATGATTCACTTATGTAGTGGCAGAAAACTTAGCTGAAGTGTGGAAAGCATAACTTGTAAGCAGTGAACTTGGATATTTAGCTGAAGATATTTGGAAGCAAAGCGTTGAAGGTGTGGATTGGTTTTTCCTTGCCGCTTATTACAAAGTGTGAGAGGAAAGGTTTGAATTGAAGGAATAACTGCTAAGTAAGGAAACTGAAACTTGATAATTTAGGAAGTTCTCAGCCAGTCTAGATTGCAAAAGATGCTAAAATTAGGAGAGTCATTCTTAGGAAAACCTGCTGTGAAAAGAAAGTCAGGGGTGTTGCTGGACAGTTTTTGCTAGCGTTTAAAGACATTAGGCATGTGACACATGGACCCATTAAGCTATCACAGCAGACACCAGGACTAGAGGAGGGATTATCCAGAAAAGATCTGTGAAGGACCTTTTTGACTAATGGCATGGGTCCTGTGTCATACACCAGAGATCCACAAGGTCTTTGAAGATGTTATATCACTAGAAACATTGCCAGCTTGGACTGAAAGGGGCAGAGGTAAGATGAAATAAAAGAATGCTGTCAGATTCCCAAAATTGTACAGGCAGGAAACAGGCTGATAAAACTGCTCAGCTGCAAACATGTGCTACCCTTCAAGGAAAGGGAAGAATGACTTTAAGGTGAGAGCTATGTGCCTAGAGGCCTGAGGCCAGGCTCACAGGCTGGAGTCAGAGGTGCAAAGGCCAGAGCCTGGACTGCACAGGTTGGAACTGCAGACTCAAGAGGACACAGCCTCAAGCCATAGAGGATTATTCCCAGGCCTCAGATCCTAATGGAATTTGCCCTGCTGGATTTTGAAATTGTCTGGGACTGGTGACCACTGTCTTCTTCTGTTTTTTTCCCTTTTCGAATCAGAATGCCTATAACTGTGATCCAATGCCTATTCTACCAGTGTATTTTGGAAGCAGATAGTTTATTTACTAGTTTCATCTGGACTACTATAAGAATTTTCTAAATGCTTCCTGATCTTCCTAACCAATCTCACTGACTTTCCTAAATCCTAGCCCTTTTCCAATTCCCTGCCCCAATTTATTGTCTATAATCCTCGTTTATCATATTCATTGTCTCTGGATTTATGCTATAAGAGAACACGATCCAGAATGGAATGTGTGTTTGCTAAGAGGATGCCTGTGAAGAGGCATTATGGCACAGAAACAAAACTGTTAGAAGCACACAGTAGCAAAATGACATTAAGACAAACCTAATTTCATTTGATTTTTATCTTACCCTGTTAAAATACCAATTTCGTGTACATTTTATAATACAGTTGTCCATGCATATAATTTACAAATTAATTTATAAACACATTTTAGGAAGCATCTTAAAATACTTTTTTTATCAATAGAAATACACAGTCAAAAGTTTAGACCACTTTTCCAAAACAGGAATGCTGCCTGATCATTGTTAAGCAAAGTCCAAACTCCTGTTGCCAAAACCTAACCCTGTTTTGAACTCAATTCTTAGCTTGTAATAATTAAGTTAACAACTTATTTTTCCATAAAAGTGCTTGTAGGGGCTTTTAAATGTCATATTTTGCAGTGTGGCATTCTAAGAGTTTGTTTATCTTTTTATAGTTGTAATCATAAAGAGCTAGATAATGATCTATTATGGAGAGATGCTTTAAGTAAATGGCAAATATATGACATGAAAGTAGTGCTTCATACTTACAGATTAACATAGACTTTACATGTTCAGCATTAATTTACTAAGATATGACCTAATGCAAATATTCTGTGCGGGAGTTAGTTAAATAATGTGCTAGAGGTAACTCATACTGTTTTATGTATATAACTTCTCTCTATTTTACACGGCAGCCTGAAGCTGGTTGTGATGGGACTATTTACACAATGGAAATGAGAAAATACTAATCAGGGCTTTCTTTTCCTTTCCCCATCCCACCCAAGGAGCTTTGCTTAGCATTGTAAGGTTTTTCAGGACTAATCTACTTTTCCCAGATTACACTGTAGAACATGGGACGTTCAGATCTTCTTTTGTAAAAAAGTGTTACGTGATCAACTATGTTTCAGATATATTGCATATAGAAATGTACTTTATCAGAGGGTCACAGTATGTATGAACATTCTAAAATCTGGTATGTTATGCTGTCAAGAAAGGTATTTAATTTTATATAGCTTAGTATTTCCATAACTTTATTAGTATAGTCACAGAACTCATTTTTGTGTTACATCTATTAATAACTCATTAAATTATTACTTTGTAGAGTACTCTGAAGAATACAGACATAGATCATGTTTAATACTTACTGACTTAAAGTGTATTTTATTTTCAGCCCTGCCAAAGTAACCCTGCTGGGGTCAATTATCTTCACATTTCAGCATACTGAACATCTGGCAATACCAAAGCATAATCTTGTGTTCCTCTATACCATGTTTCTCGTGGGCACAAAGGTAAGAGCTCACAGCAGCAATAAATCAGTATTACAAATTCTGTGTTACCAGAATTCTGTATACAAGGCAAGTAACAGGAACATTTATTTATTTTTATTGTTATTACAGTCTAAAAACATGAATTTTGGGGAGTTTATTCAGCAAATCCATGACTTTCTGAAACTTAGCTCTTCTGTGATTCCTCATTTGATTTATGCCGGTTCTACCGGGAGAGTCTTGCAGATAGCCTAAAAGTCTATTGGAGGCTGGGAAGTAGTAGAAATAAGAACAGCCAAGGCTGATCAGAGACTGCAAAGACAGTGTTGTCTCATTTGTAAAATGAGGTGGTTGTGTAGATGTTCTCTGAGGTTCGTTTAAGCTTTAAAATTTTGAAATTCCATATTAGGACATTTGTGACTAGTCTCTTTTGTTATTTTTGTCTGCTTTGAAGCTTTATACCTTCTTGAAAATTGGAGGGTAGTATGATATAAGGTCATATCTTTTAGAGACAGATTGTCTTAAGTTCACACCTAGCTTTGCTCTCTGATTCCTGAATAGGCAAGTCACTAATTGTCTCTGAATCCCAACTTTCTCATCTTCATTATGTGAGTGTTGAGAGGATTGGAGATGATGTATGTCATTCTGTTACAGTGTCTGACACATCTTATGAATTCTGTTTGCAGCTGTATCATGAGGCTAATTCTGATTATTGTTATTCTTACCATTATTAGATATTGTTCCCTGTTCACAGCTAGACAATTAATTTTCAAATAAGATTATTGTTCAGGCCTAGAGGAATTTTGTAGCTACCTCTATCTCAGCCTAGATATTTTTGGCTTCTTAAAAAGATTCTTAAAAGGACACAGTATATATTTTACAAATTTATGTCTTAGAACCAAGTCACCTCATTTCTGTTTCAGTAGTCTCTGCAGTGGAGGTGGTATGTGGTGGTAATTCACATATTGCAAGTATCTCTTCACGTGTGCCTTCCTCTTCCAGTCCTTAAATTTTGGGCCGTATGTATTTCTTTGTAATAGCTTTACTGAAATGTATTTTAAATACCATCCACTTCTTCCATTTAAAGTGTATAATTCAGTGGTTTTAAGTGCAATCACAGAGTTATATAACCATCACTCCAGTCAATATTGAAATATTTTTATCACCCCCAAAAGAAACCTCACACTCATTAGCAGTTACTTCACATTTCTCCTTAATGACCCAGCTGTAGGAAACCACTAATCTACTTTGTTTAATAAATCTGCCTATTCTGACATTTTATGTAAATGGAATCACACAATATGTGGGCTTGTGACTGATTTCTTTCACTAGCATAATGTTTTGTAGGTTCATCTGTGTCGTGCTGTGTATCAGTATATTGTTCCTTTTCATTGCTAAGGGATATTGCATTGCATGGATTATATTTTATTTATCCATCAGTTGATGGATATTTGGATTCTTCTACTTTTGGCTAATATGAAAATTCCCTTTATCGGGTTGAGGAAATTTTCTTCTGTTTCTAGTGTGCTGAGCATTTTTATCATGAATAGGTATGAAATTCCATTAAATGGTTATCTCTGCACATGGGTTAAGATACTTATATGATTTCTCCTATATTCTTTAATATAGTGGATTACATTGATTGATTTAAAAATGGTTATATGGATTTTTTATTTTTGTGGTAAACCCCATAGTCATGATGTGTCCTTTTTGTATACTGCTGGGGTGAACAAGATCACGCAGGTTTCAAGTGTACTTTCCTGTGATACATGACCCGTGTATTGCATTGTGTGCCCACCACCCAAAGTCACATCATGTTCCATCACCATGTATTTGGCCTCCTTTACCCTTTAATACGCCCCACTCCCTTCCCTGTGCTAACCACCACACTGTTGTCTGGGTCTATGAGTTTTGGTTTTATATCCCACATATGAGCAAAGTCATATAGTTCTTAGCTCTCTCTGACTTATTTTGCTTAGCATAGTATTCTCAAGGTCCATTCATGTTGTTGCAAATGGTGGTATTTCATCTTTTCCTTTGGCTGAGTAGTGCTCCATTGTATATATGTACCACATCTTCTTTATCCAGTCCTCTATCAAAGGATGCTTTGGTCATCTCCATGTCTTGGCCACTGTGACTAATGCTGCAATGAACATAGGGGTTCATATATTTTTGTGAATAAATGTTTTTGAGTTTGTCATGTAGATACCCAGAAGAGGGATTGCTGGGTCATATGGTAACTCTATTGTTAATTTTTTGAGAAACCTCCATATAGTTTTCCATAGTGACTGTACCAGTTTATATTCCCACCAGCAGAGAATGAGGGTTCCTTATCTCCACAACCTCTCCAACCCTTATTATTACCTGTCTTGTTGATAATAGCCATTCTAGCAGGTGTGAGGTGGTATGTCATCGTAGTTTTGATTTGCATTTCCCTAAAAGCTAGTGATGTTGAATATCTTTTCATATATCTGTTGGTCATTTGTATGTCTTCTTGGGAGAGGTGTCTGTTCAGGTTCTTTGCCCATTTTTTAAAAAAAATTTAAAGATTTTATTTATTCATTTTTAGAGAGAGGGGAAGAGAAAGAGAAAGAGAGGAGAGAAATATCAATGTGTGGTTGATTCTCATGCACCCCATACTGGGGATCTGGCGTGCAACTCAGGCATGTGACTGGGAATCGAACCGGTGACCCTTTGGTTCGTAGTCCATACTCAGTCCCCTGAGTTTACCAGCCAGGGCAACTGCCCATTTTTTAACTGAATTATTTGTTTGGTTTTGAGTTGTGTGAGTTCTTTGTATATTTTGGATAGTAATCCCTTTGTGGAGATGTTGTTTGCAAATATCATCTCCCATTTGTTTTGTTGGCAGTGTTTTTCTTGTGTAGAAGCTTTTTGGTTTGATATAGTTCCATTCATTTCTTTTTGCCTTTACTTCCCTTGCCTTTCGAATCAAATTCATAAAATGCTCTCTAAAACCAAGATCCATAAGTTTCATACCTGTGTTCTCTTCTATGTAATTTATTGTTTCAGATCTTATATTTAGGTTATTGATCCATTTTGAATTAATTTTTTATACATGGGACACACTGTAATCTATTTTAATTCTTTTGCATGTGGCTTTCCAATTGTCCCAGCACCATTTATTGAAGAGGCTTTCTTTCCTTCATTGTCTGTTTTTTGGCTCCTTTGTCAAAAATTATTTGCCCATATACATGTGGTTTTATTTCTGGGCTTTCAATTCTGTTCCTTTAGTTTGTGTGTCTGTTTTTCTGCCAGTAGCGTGCTGTTTTGATTATTGTAGCTCTGTAGTATAATTTAAAGCCAGGCACTGTGATACCTCTGGCTTTGTTCTTTTTTCTCAGGATTGCTTTGGCTATTTGGGGTCTTTCGTGGTTTCACAAATCTGATGATTTTTTTGTTCTATTTCTTTAAAAAATAACATTGGGATTTTGATGAGGATTGCTTTAAATCTGTATATTATTTTAAGTAATGCAGACATTTTAACTATGTTGATTCTTCCAATCAAACACAGAATATCTCTCCATTTTATGGATCTTTTTCAATCCTTTTTTTTTTTAAAGATAAGAAGAGAATCTTTTTAAAAAAATATTTACTTATTTTTAGAGAGGGAAGGGAGGGAGAAAGAGAGAGAGAAACATCAATGTGCAGTTGTTGGGTGCCGTGGCCTGCAACCCAGGCATGTGCCCTGACTGGGAATCGAACCTGAGATGCTTTGGTTCACAGCCTGCGCTCAATCCACTGAGCTATGCCAGCCAGGGCTTTTTCAATCCTTTTTATAATATTTTGTAGATTTCAGGATATAGAGCTTTCACATCCTTTTTAATTCAGTTCTTAGGTATTTTATGATTTTTGTTGCAATTACAAAAGGAATTGTTTTTTTTTATTTCTATTTCTGAAGTTCCATTGTTCATATTAGAAAAGCAGTAGATTTTTGTACATTGATTTTGCGTATTGCAACTTTGCTGTATTTGCTCATTGCTTCTAATAGTGTTTTTGTTAGAGTCTTTAGAGTTTTATATAGAAAGAATCATGTCATCTGCAAACAGTAACACTTTTGTTTCTTCCTTCCCAGTTTGGATGCCCTTTATTTCTTTCTTTTGCCTGATTGCTCTGGCTGGGACATGCAGAACTATGGTGAATAAAAGTGATGAGAGTGGACATCCCTCTCTTGTTCCCGATCTCAAGTAGAACGCTTGTAGTTTTTGTCCACTGAATATGATGCTGGCTGTAGGTTTGTCATATATGGCCCTTATTTTGTTGAGGTGTGATCCCTCTGTTCCCACTTTGCTGAGAGTTTTTGTCATAAATGTGTGCTGGACTTTAGTGAATGCTTTTTCTGTCTCTAATGATAGGTATAGTGATATTAGACCTCTGCAGGGCAGGATACAAATGGATATATGATATTTGAATAGATCAAAACGCTGTCCTCAAGATTTACTGTCTGAAAAGACATATGATACATGTATATATACTTTTAAACTTTGTGAGGATAGGTACTAATTTTGTTTAATTAATCATTGCATCCCTAGCACTGTATCCAGTGCACATAGTAGATTTTTAATATATATTTGTTGACTGACTGACAAATGACCAAAATGCTTTTTCATAGGCCTCTCTGTATTTAATTTTCCCATAATTACTTACTAGGACTGTACTACCAGAGGAACAATTTTTACCCAGCTTATTGAAAAGAACATTTATAAAAATGGAAATCTTAAGATTTTAATTTATTTGACAGTCATTTAGATTAACAATTATTGATGTCTGAACGAATGACATCACTAATGAATAGAGCAAAGAGTAACCAGAAAATGTGGTTGAATATGCTATGTGCAGTTAGGAATTTATTACAGAGCAAGGTGACTTTCACTGGAGGGCACTGAAGAAGGCTTAGACAGTTGAGTCGCACTGCAAAGGATTATTTGGATTTGGGCATTTGGAGACAGAAGTATGTTTTGGGTGGAGAGAGAGATTAATTAAGTTTTGCTTGTATAGATGTATAG